CTCTAATCTCTACTTTGAAGAGACCTTGATCAAGGATCTCCTCCTTGGCTTTACGAGGAATAGGCGGCAGGCTAGAGCCGCCTGCGAGGAGAGGCGGATCCCTGTTCCACCTATTGTACCTCTTGTTGATAAGTTTGTCGGGGCTAGAAACAATGAAAAAGGTGTTCCTCCAGTCCTTCCCCTTGTTCTCCTTTTCCCTTGTCATCAAGTTGCCCTTATGGCTGGAAATCTGGTACCAACCCGTACAGCTTGCTTTTGGGGTCCGGCTCATATAGTTCATTTGAGCGAACGCTGCAAAATTTGGTTCAACCCCATACATTTCACAGCCGGCCACAAAGCGCAAATGTTGGACCATGAGTTTGGGGCCAACTGCCAGAGCCCCACCTGGTACCTATCTAGGATTTGTTGAACCGTCGGATGCAAGGGGAACCTCTGCCCAGCCTTAATGGCCGCCTCGTAGCAGCCAAAACAGGCGTCCCCATAGCTGGATCCGTCAGGCCAGACCACTGTGTCTTCAGCATCCGGCACTGATAATAAATAATCTGGGCCCATTACATGGTCGGCCTGAAAGGTCCCTAACCTCTCATCCATGGCCTTAATTCGGCCTTTTGGCACATGAAAATAGTAGGGAGTGTTCGATTCCTATGAGAAGCAGACGGCTCATCCCAGCCGACTCCCTTTTCAACCGCATGAGACGTTATCGCCTCATGAAGACGAGAATGCCTCTCTTTTGAGTCTAGAGACTGTCGGCTGGATGAGCTTGACTCAGATTCACTAAAGCTCTTAGAAGAGGCCGACTCCTCTTTCTCAGAGAGGGCCGGCTCTTGGTCGGACATATCTACAACCATAGGACTGGCCGCCTGAACCTCAGATTCTTCTAAAATTGAGTCACTTGGAGTGCTTGGGTCACCAGGTGAGCTATCCGAGAGCTCGCTCAACTGAACATAATATGAGGAGCCGTCTGAATTTATATATCTGGCCGTCCTCTTTATTTTGGCCATAATGTCCTGCATAGACACAGAGACAGTCGGACTTGGAGCACAGGGCAAAGATGGGTCCAAAAAGGGGCAGGCGGCACTCCTAGTCCTAGATTCAGCCGTCCCCGGTGACCGACTAATCACTAAGTTAGGTCGTGTCGGGTGCTTTTGGGATACCATATTTTCAAAAGAAAAATGCAAAGAAATGAAAAGAGCAAGAGCGAAACAAACGGTTACCTGAAGTATGTTTTGAGAGAGGAGAAGGAAGCTTTAAGCAGCCGATCACCACAAACCAATCGGCTAACGTAAACAGTCGATCGAATGTCAGTCGTCCAGAAATCTCAGAGCACAAGTTTAGGGTTCCGAGTTCTCTTGCAAAGTTTACAAAATGTGAACAAACGACTTGGTCAACATGCCCTTATATAGGGTTATTCAAGAATTTTAAGGGTCACGCCCTAAATTCAAAAAATAGGCGGCTTATCACAGGCCGACACCTGTCACAGACCGTCGCCTAGTTACGAGTCGACACCTGTCACAAGCATCATGTGACAAGTCACGTGACCCCTATGAGGGGCAAATGTTTAGGGGATTTTTCCCCGCCACGTGGACCAGTTAGCACCTGCCACGAGTCGACCATGTGGACCATTCAGGAGCTCCCACGTGTCATGCTCCAAGAGGTCCAGCATGGACCAATCGCGCCACGCCATGTGGCCCACTATCTACCAACTCGGAGAAACGACCACCTGGGCCCGAATCCCGAGGCAAGCCCAATCAGTCCTAGGTTTACCATTTAACCTAGTATTAGGCACGCACTTCGAGGCTATAAATACAGTAATCAACTTTCATTAAACACATTCAGAATTAATTAATCATCTCGCCTGGAGAAACCTAAACACACGTGTATACTAATCGGTAGACCAGACTTAGCATAATTTGCAGTCCCCGATCACTCCTCCCTTCCGAGGAACCAGATCACCCTCTTTACTTTCCGCACCTTTTACTCCACATACAAGTACTAACTTGATCATTGGAGGCGGAGCTCCCACCACCCGGAGTTTTCGTTATTTTGCAGGTACATGCGCAAGGATCTAGTCCCGGAATTGTAACTCTCCCGCGGGACATCAAAAAACCCCGAAACACACCCCCTCCCAAAAAGCTACTCGTATAAATTTTAAAATTGAAATATTTTAAGCGACATGAATTTTCTTAGAATTTATTACAAAACAAAAATCTATACTTCGTCATTTTCTTTAATGTTACAACATGGAGGGAGCACAAAATAATAGGTGGCATAAAAATTAAAGGAAGTGAGAGAGAGAAAATTACAAACTCGTACATGGGATGATATTGCAAGCAGGGGTGGATCTATTCATGAGCACAGTTGTGCACGTGACTCACCAATAAAAAAAAAAAAAAAAAAAAAAAAAAAAAATTGATGTTTGTTTTTTCTTAAAATAAAATATCAAAGAGACCCCTTATTATAGATAGGCGGTCTCTTTGATGCTGTTATTCCTACAAGAGATTTGCGCTGCGAAACTGCGTTAGACCCCGACACCTGTTATATTTTTTTCCTTAAAATATCTAAATAACCGGTCTCTTTGATGCTGCTATTGAATTTCTTGATTTTTTGTGTTGGTTTTTTTTTCATTAAAGAGACCGGTTATATTTAATAACCGGTCTCTTAAGTTATCTCACTTTTTTTTGTATAGTTTTTTAATAATTTTTATTTCTATTTATATCCTATATTTGTGCAATTATTTTAAATATTTTCCTACAAATCTTATCAATTAAGTACAAAATTATAAAGTTCATTTAATGTAATAGCTTGATAGTACTATTTGTTTGTAACATGTTATTTGTAATACTTTCGACTTGTAAAATTGAATTTTTAAGTACTATTTGGTTGTACTCGTAGTATGGATTTTTGTGTCCTATTTTTGGATTGAAATTAATTTGGTTAAATTTAATTTTTTATATATATATATAATTTTAGATTGAAATTAATTATGAACAAGATTTGGAAAAAAAAAATTGTACTTTCACAAGTGATCAATAAATGATGGTGACTCACCATCTAGGAAATCCTGGATCCACCACTGATTGCAAGCATAGAATAAAGTAATAAGTGTTCATATTGCCGAAGAGTACATTATGAATTTGAAGTTTGAAAGGCGATACCTAAAATGGGTATCATAACTATTACATAAAAAAGATGAACTTTCAGTGGCAATCTAATATGTTACCATGTATCGCGTCTCATACTACTATAACAAAGCATAAATATAACACACATAATGTTCAGGGACGGACCTATTCATGTGTCTGGTGGTGCACGTGACTCACCAGTTAAAAAAAAAATAATGTTGAATCAAAGAGACCCGTTAATATAAATAACAGGTCTCTTTGATGTAAAAATATCAAAAGAACTTTGACTCTGTCACCTATCACTCTCTCAATGTGTTTTTTTTGTTCAATATCAAAGAGACCAGTTATTAAGATAACGGGTCTCTTTGGTGTTGCTGCGTATTGTGCTGCTTTCTTTAATATTTAAAGAGATCGGTTATATTTAATAACCGGTCTCTTAAGTTATCTCACTTATTATTATTATTATTATTATTATTATTATTATTATTATTATTATTATTATTATTATTATTATCATTATTATTAGTTTTAATAATTTTTGCTTCTATTTATATCCCCCAAAGCTTATCAATTAAGTAAAAAAACATAAAGTTAATGTAATAATTTTATAGTATAATTTGTTTGTAACATGTTATTTGTAATACTTTTGATTTGTAAGATTGAATTTTTAAGTACTATTTTGTTGTAATATGGATTTTTGCGTCCTATTTTTGTATTGAAATCAATTTGGTGATATATATATATATATATATATATATATATATATATATATATATATATATATATATATATATATATATATATATATATATATATATATATATATATTTATGTATATATATATATATAATTTTAGAATTGAAATTAATTATAAATAAGATTTGGAAAAATAAAAATGTACTTTACAAATGATCAATAATTGATGGTGACTCACCACCTCAAAAATCCTAGGTCCGCCACTGATAATGTTAGATATCATAAGCTTAATAAACGTTGCAATATTAAAGGAACTGCGAAATATAAAGTCAGACCTCTATACAGAATCAGCAGGACCAGGCCGTCTAATCAAGTTTATCGATATGCCCGTCTAGCCATTCGACGCAAAAAGTTGTATAATCCACTAATAAAGGTAAAATATGTTAGGATAACGGCAGACAGCTAATTATAATCATTCATCCCTAACTTCAACAGTATAATCTAACTTTAAAAATTAATCCTCCAATAGTTGCTACAGAAAATTTCTGACAAACTCAGTGTAAGTCAACATTTTACAGGGATTTGTTAGTTACATGTTTCCAGATTGATGATGATTATCAAACATTTCAGTTAGATTTAGTCAATTTTAGCTGTTTCTATTAGAGTGATTTGCTAAGACTGAGAACTGCAAATGTTCATACTGAACTGTTACAATAGTGGCAGCTGGGAACTTGCTCAAGACTCAAGAGGTTGGCTAGAGCACTCCATCGGAGTGTTCACTACACAGGCTGACTCATCCCTTCTGTTCCTGAAACAGAACACTGAGTAACAAGGATGACACGATTGTTTTGCAGGCCTGCAGAACACTGAATAACGATAAGGATGAAACGATTGTTCTGTAGGCCTGCAGCTAATTTTCCGGGTTACAAAGACATTTGATCATCAAATCACTCTGCAATTCAAAAAAAAAAAAAAAAATGATAAACAGTACAACATATGTCAAGAAATAAATACAGATTCCAGTGGATGAGAGCTATCGAAAGACGTATATGACACAAAGCTAATTTGGAGGTATGAACATTACATATAGAACGGAAATTTTCTTCGTTGATATACTCCCATGTCAAAAAATCAGACAGATTCCAACAAACAAAAGCAAAAATACACGAATAAAACTGATCATCAACCACAGCAGAAGCATGATGGCATGCAGATATCAAATAATCAATTTCACAATATGGCACTTATACAATGTAACAAAATAGTATATACAAGTACAAGCAGCAACTGCAAGAAGCCAGCACTATATATCAATTCTGGTAATGTATTAAAATTCATTATATTAGTATATTAATACACCAATAATTGCAAGGTCAAGCAACTCATATGATTAACTATCTATCTCTATATGTATTTGATCTGACATCATGATTTTGAAACGAAGGATATCCATATGGGAGTATTCCTTCATTGTTCCTCGGGAACTGGCTGCCCATCATCTGGTGTGACGGCATATGTGGGAAGAAGTCTGGAAAGACTAAACTTGTCAATTCATTAGAATTACCAGAAGATATGTTGGTGTTAAACTGAAAGTCAAATCTTGGTTGCCTATTAGGGATATCCGGAGTAGAGAAGAGGGACTCAGCACCAGGACTACTAAGCTGGGAACCCAACGGACAGGAAATATATTGGTGGCCTTGTACTGCAAGAGGTCTTGTGTCAAGAGCAGAAATGGTTAGTTCTGATAAATGATTTGAACTTGGTAACGTACTCTGAATGAGAGATTGACAATCTGGAGCAGATGGCACTCTGAAAAGTCCAGGACATCCAACAGGAATGTTTAACCAATCGACATCGCCGTTTGCTGGAACAGAAGTTTCAATTATTCTGCCAACAGATATCTTGGTGTCTGGAAAACTATTAATTTGTTGTTTAATTAGTAGCTTGGCTTCATGAAGGGCCTCTAGTACTGTTTTCACCCTATAAGATGGTTCTTCATGGGGTACAAGTGAACGAGAGTCATCTTTCCAAGGTGGTTGTAGTTCACAGGAAACACTACCACTGTATGATGGGTCATCATGACCTGCTTGTAATGATTGTCTAGCTGCGTGTTCCAAAGATTGATTACTATTCGTTGCAGAGAAAGCAAATTCAGGAGCAGGAGATCCACTAGGCTGCATCTCACTGAATTTATGTTTCTCTGTACTACCACTAGTAGCATCAGGGGATAGCTTGAAACTATTGAAATGGGTTATTGATAGTTTTCTTCCTACAGAATTGGTCTGCGTCCCAACTTTGTGGTCATGGCAAGCACCAACGTCGACGAGTTGAGGAACTGTTTCTTTGTTCTCGTCTCTCTCCTCTGTGACATCTGAATGGCTACCAGGTTCACATGAATCCTACAAAATTCAACGCCATGCACTATTAAGGTTTAGATTTATCAGGATTTAAAGAAAAAAAAGGGAAGAAATTCTACATTTTAGCCATCGAAATCAAATTGAATGTTGTATTAATTAAATACAGAAACATAGAAAAATAACAATGTACAAGCTAGCATTAATCCCAGCTTACTAATGTTCAGTAGTTTAGCTACGTAACATTAAAGTAGTTTGACAACAGATATCAAACAGCTAGCCATTAGTTAAGTTTGCTGATTGTTACACCAATTGCTAAATTTACTGAAGAGATCTAACGTCTTCTATGTAGTTTCATCCCATATGTAACAAGCACCAGATACCACTTCAACATATACATGGCACAAATAGAAAAAAGCTGGTAAAATTAAAGAGGTTAAAAATACAATATCGGATTACTTTCTCACATCCTCTTTAAATAATCTTTTTGAACTTTTGATGTTTCTTCAAATTTGGTCTCATCATGAACCCTACAAACATGGGTTTTACAAATGAGTTGAGGATTGAACAACTAAACATTATCATGCAATGGGGTGATACCTACATCATCATCTAAACAAGGACTTTGAAATATAGAGAAAAAACCATATGCAATGAAATTTTGGGATAAGAATTATAATAATAAAAAAGTATAATAGCATACTAACATTATTCTCTCCATATTTTTCTTCCCACTCTCTTTGATCCTTTTCCTGAGCTTCATAACATTTTATGAGTTGTGCTTGATGTTGATGAGCTCTTTCCATCTCACCGCTACATTCATATTCATGCGAGGAACTACCAGCATCATATTCCCGTGCTTGAGTTTCAAAGGAGCAAGAAACTTTATCCTTTCCAGAACCTCTCTGACCGAATCTCTCAGGAGATTTTCTTGATCCCACACTCTGGAAGTCCAAACAATCAAGACCACGGTCCAAGCAGTCCATGGCATTGCTATCTTGAGCATTAGACATACTAGAATCATGTCTGGGCTCCTCAATTGTTGACCTGACAGCATAAACCAAAAAACTGTTGAATATTAAAATTCACAAATTCCCTAAGCTTTTTTTATTTACAAATTTCACTTTGACCATATTATGTTTCTAATATATATGGAATCAAATATCATCATGTAAGATGTAGGATTCATCTCAATGTATAATTTCAAAATATTAAATTTTTATAATTTCACTTATTTCATTAAATATATACATGGTTTAAAGTTGTGCATTGGAAAGCTGTCAAGCCAAAATTGAAACCCTTACCAAAAACAGAGAGTACTAGATATACTTTTCAGCAGCATCATATTATATCCAACTTCTGTGTTTAGTTTGAAAGATAGGTTATTGTGTGGTTGCATCAACACTGAGTATTGTGCCTTAATATACAAAGGTGAATGAATACTTATCATAATCATGACCTTTATCCATAGTGACTTTCGGTCTTGCTCAACGTGTTTCATGAGTTTTGCTTGCTACATGAATCTCAATAGAGATTTGGCAAGGGTTTCAATTCATCATACACTACTCTTCATACTCACCTAACATAGTTTGGTTTCCCCTTGGAATAACATTAGTGTGGAGTGGTTATCTACTGCAGCTTGATACTGTAATTGAGTTGGCATGGGGCTGAATGCTTCTATGCTGTTAGGTATTGCTAATTACATTAAATTGTCTTCTTGAATTCGTCAGTTTTACCAAAATAATCAGGTTGAATCAAAATTATACCAAATGAGGCATGGCCTTTGCCTAGTGGTTAATTCATGATTGTTTAGAATAACTTTTGTCTAATTAACTTCACTTTAGGACTTCAACAAGTTGAATAGTATTGATAAGGCTGCAACTTATTCACCGTGGGATTGATAGCTAAATACAATTCCAGCAATTGCAGCCTAAGTCAATCAATTTACTCACCTAGAGGAGATCTTCAGTGCCAATTACGAGCAAGGATCCTTTGGCCGTAAACAAATTAAATGATGCTATGTACACAAAAATGAACTTAATATATGTATAACTTTTATCATCAAGAATCAAAACAGCATCAATTTTGGGAATGACTACAAACATGTACCTTGATTCTCTTCTTTTGATCTGGCGGCATGATTTATCAAGGCGCTGCCTTGGAGAAGAGTTAACTTGAGCAAGACTAGTTTGGCTTCGGATGGAAGATTTGAGACCTTTCTTGTCCAGCAGTCGAGTACTATCCTTGCGACCTTTCCAAGACAATGATCTACCGGATGAAGGGGTAGACTCCGGCTCCAAACCTAATGGCTCCCTATCATTTTGCTCAGTTTCCAAAGGGCCAAACGCCTTATTGACCTTGGTTGTATCCCCATTATCCATATCAGAATCGTACTGAGATTCATCCTCATTGGAATCGGACTCATAAACCTCAGAAATGTCACTGACCCCAAGACTATCTAGATACGAATATACATCCAGAGCTGCCTTCTCTGCCCTTTTTCGCCGAAGAGTTACAACTTTCAGCTGATCTTCTAACTCCTTAACCTATGAATATTGCATATCAAACATGAAAAAAGTAATCTACAAAACAAAAGCACTGTACAAACCCAAACAACACTAAAAACTAACCCTTTTTGCAAGCTCATCAGCTCTCTCTTTGGTTGCTTTCGAAATCGATCTTTCTGAAAGCAATCTCGCCCGAAGATATTCGATTGTAATCATCCGTGAATCCCCTTCACCATTTGATCTAATTAACGTAATAAATCAGTCAATCTTTTAGCATAGCTCCCTAAACTATCACTCATAAACACAAATTAGCAACTCGGGAGTAATTTCATCCGAAAATCATGGTTAAAAATTAATAATTCCAGCTATGTATCACAAAATGTGCAATCAAAAACTTCAACACAAAAAAAATAAAAAAATAAAAAAATAAATAAAAATAAAAATAAAAATAAAAAGAATTGGGGAAGAACCCTAAAGATAATTTAAGCTAATTATAAAAGAAACAACGAACGAACACTAAACCCATTATTTTAATTGACACAAAAAATTGATTTAGTTTAGCTAATAATTAAACCAAATTTGCAGAATATAAATAGAGTTGATCATTTCACCTTTCATCTTGTTTAACTTGACTTTTATCTGAAGTATTTTGCATATTGAGGAGCTCAAGAAAGCAACTTCACAACTCTTTTGGAATTTCCAAATTGGGATTTCGAAATGATCAGTCGAGCCAAAAGTTGTATCAATCTAGTAATCTACGCATGAAAAATGGATTGAAGTTTCACTTTCATTTCATTACAGCAAAGTGCAGAGTAGAGAGAGGAGACGGAAAGTTCTGCAGTTGTCAAAAGAGAAACAATTAAGAAGAGTGGTGTTAGACTAACGTATTTACTCCGACCCAGTTGACTATTAACATACTTTTTTCTTTATTTATATATACATATAACCAAATTATAATGTTCATCCGGTCCACATGCTTCCCGTATCATTAATGGCATTTTCTTAATATTTCAATTTTACAAAGTGATTTCCAGTTTCATTTCTAAAAAGTAAATGAAAAGTTAGTAAAAGCAAATAAAATCAGTTATAAAGTAAATAAAATTGCCTTAAAAGTTAAAAAACTAGAAAAAAGTTTTAAAATCCGTGAAATTACGAAAATGCCATTAATGAAAGCGCGATTAAAGGCTGGATTGGTTCCTAATTCCTATTATTCACCTTGGTTCTCACATGATCTCACTAATATATATATATATATATATATATATATATATATATATACATATAGCTATGGCAGTACAACAATCTCTTAGAAATCAATCAAGCAGACACTACTGACAACTTCATCAAATCAAGCTAAATTCCAGAGACAACAAGGAACGAGGCGATGCTCAAGCAGGTCCGAGTAAGTCATCCGGCCAGCCCCAAGCGGCAGGACAGTCTGCTCACATCACCCGAGACAAGTTCATGAAATTCATGACAAGTTTCAAGGGAGAGACGAAGGAACTGATCTCCAAGACTGACGTTTTCTGCAGGTACAGGCATTTAAAAAGGATAATTCAGGATCGCAAAATGTTCAGAATCATTCTCCGTCCCTATTGATCTACTTTGACTTTTGTTTTCGAAACATACGTTTCTCCAAACTCAGTCAAAGTGGGGGCTTCTGTAGACACCTGATTGTGTTTCCCCAAAGACCAAACCTAGTAATGAGTACCTTTCATGTCTTTGATTAACGAGTTTGATAAAAAGTTGAAGACTCTCGTGAGGTTTCCTTAATCCTTGACCTTATATCTAACCTTGCCTAAAATGTATTAATCCAAAACATTCATTTTGTGTCTTTAAACCCTAAAAATCATTCATTTCGTGTGCTAAAAAATCATTCATTTCGTGTCCAAATTATAAAAACGTCCAACCCAGATTATTTTGTTCCATAATCCTAGTCCAATAATTGTCTATTTGAATGGGGTTGGAAAGAGCTTCCCAACAATATATTACAAGCCCAAATCCGACTAAAAACGAATAAGTTATGGCCAAAATACTAAATCGAGCCCAAAACCGAGCCTAGGTCCACCTTATCTACGATCAAATTATCATATGAGGGTCCAAATATCTAATTACCAATCCTAAGTTAGTTAGGAACTTCTAAGATCCTCTAGAAGATTCTAATCTATCCGTGCCGAAAAGATAAAGATCAAAGAGTTCGACATTGAATAAGACATCTCATATGATAATCCCCATCCTGTTCGTATTCAAAGACGCCCGGATATATTTCACAAATCTAATACCATTAGAAATCAAACTCCATACAAATTTAATTATCTTCTAAACCAGGGCCCGACGCCTGGACCAACGCTCCGTGATGGTCCTAACTCGGCGAGTCAATACCCAACGCGGCGCGTCATAGTTAGTTTTACTTCCATTCAAATTTTGATTTTTTCTAATCGTACAGACTCTCTTTTTTCCCTTTAAACTGAGGTCGTTTTCCCCGTTTCTAAATCAGCTAAAACCATCAATCATAAGCTATAACTACCTAGATCCAATCATCATCAACACTCCTTATCAAACATCCAATATTCTTAGCCTTAGCCTAAACACATCCTTGATACTCTCCCAAATCAGTAACAATACTTCCTTTGTGAGATACGAATACTCCTAGCCATACTCGACGTTGCCTTTGACTTCGAAGTGAAAGGTTTATAGTTCTGAGGGTTTGGTCCCAAATCTCTCTTTCTATTCATATTTGATTTATTTACATTATTGATTTAACTTTCTTGTAGTTTACTAACATGTGTATTGTTTTAATAGCTAGAAGTTTAAGGCATCAAAGTGAGTAATTCAATTATCCTTTTTATTATCCTTTTGATTTTGGAGTAGAAATCATGTTTAGATGTTATTTTGATTCCTAGTATCATGTTAAGGATAATGCGTTGATCTTGTTATTAGTGACATGCTAGGATTTGTTATTAATCCGTTTAGTATCATGCCTAGGATCTTACTACTAACAATATTTTGATGATGTTCTTATGATGATGATTATTGTATTAATCATATGTTGCATGATGTATTGCTATTTCTTGATCACGCCCCTTCTTGGAGGTTTAAGGGAATTTGTACTTGAAATCAAGCCTAATAAGATATTAATAATTTGATTTAGGATTAATATGAATTTAATTCAAGTGATCACCAATAAAAGATTTAATTGTGCATTGATAATCAACCAACGTAGATTAAACAGGTTTAGGATTAACTTGATGTATGTATGTTGATCGAAAAGCGCATATGAATACCATAAGAATAGAGTAGAGGCCTATATTAGGCGGGTTCAATCTCTTTTAGGTTGGATTCGTACCATCATCCCCGAACATCCAGTCATGGTTCCCGACCACTATGGAGTTAGCGATCTCCGTGATAGTGAATGGTTTACAAGTTCGTACAACTTATTGGCGGCTCTTTTTCTCTAGCTTCTTTTCCTTTGAATGCCGCCATGCTTAAAAACATGACCCAAAGTAGGGCGAGCGTTGAAAAATTCCCTAAAGATGGCAAATCATCACTAGTGAGATGATTGATTTGTCGGATTTTTAGCTAGTAAGCAAGCTAACGAAATCCCTAGGAGTTGTGTCCATACATACGGACAAAGCAGTTAAGGCATTCATTAGAGAATTCTTATGTTCCTTAGAGGTACTAAGGAGTTACCTAATGCTAACATTGGCCTTAGATTGGCGAAGTTGTTTTACCAATGGATCCTCTACCTCAGGTGGAGGTGGTGTTGGATTTTGAGCTTGACCTTGGTTGGTCGAAGATCTATTTTGTTGTGTTTGATAGACTCGCTCAGAACGAATCAAGTGATCCATCTCGTTTGGGTTAGCCTTAGTATTCATGAACCAATTTTCTTTTAAAGGTGTTGAATATGTCTTAATTTCTAAATGTTCTATCAGTTGTGCTTGATATCATTGCTCTTCTAAGGAAAGGTTTTATAATTCTTCTTATTTTCCAAAAAATTATTCCCAATCAAGCACTCCATTTGTTTTAACTTGAAGACAAGGTGGAGGTGGGACAACGGCATATTTTGAGACAAATAAGTCTTTAATGTCATTGTCCCATAGTCCACACACTTCATTAGTTTCCCCTATGAGTGTTGTGGTTAGAGATTTCCCTATGGGAGTGATGTACCAAGGGATTGAACCACCATTCCTCACATGGTCCTCATCAATGTGAAATATTCCCATTAGGGAAATATTATTATTGGGTTTAGGCGTGGGAATTTCCCCATCGTCTACTAGCTCTTCAGCCTTGTGATTTAAAACAAAGAACCATTCGGTATCATGCCATTAAGGATGTCTTTTTTCTATGGAGGCAGGAGGCGTTGGCCCAATTGGCAATAGTAAACTCTTTTCAGTCAATTATTCTAGAAGTTCTTTGTATGTCACAGGCAATTGTGTGAACTTTCGATCTCTCATCCATGTTCTTCGATTATTGTTATTAATCTATTGTTTGGACGTTGCGAAAACTGTAATATAGGATGAAGTGTTATCATTCTCCTTTTTGTAGTTGCTTTTAGGTTGATGATGATGATGAGGATTATTTGCCTTTTCTTTTGCAAGATCTTCTGCAATCCTAGTTGCCACAGAATAGGCCTTATGAATAGTGTCTAAACCAAGGTAACGTAGATGCTTGTTGTACTTTCATAACAATTGTCAATGAATTTTTGTACTAACTCGAGTTCAGGCGGCCTTTTCACGCCATCTACCATATAAAGCAAGGAAATCTTCATCGTCACCTTGCTTGAGCATTTCAAGTTCACACAAAGTTGATTTGAACTCTACATTATTCACATATTGGGTGATGGAAGCCGAAACTACATCTTACCATGTACTCTTGAATTTGGCATCCAGACCATAGTACCACTCTCTTGCAGCTGGGTCAAGAGATAAAGGGAACGTTAAAACATAAAGCTTAGAATCGACTCCTTTTAAAGCCATAGTGCCAGTAAAACTCATTAGATGATTTTTTGGATTGTTGGTCACCTTAAACATTGGTAAGTCTGTAGCTACAAACTTTTCAATTAAAGTAAGTCCTATAGGAGGAGCAAACTTTTCTGCATCAAAGTACTTGTTCCCCATAGTAGAACAAAGATAAAGTTTCTCCAACGTCTTTTCTCGTTCGGCTAAAGCATCTATTTTTTTATTATATATCTAGAGCCTCGGCCTCCTTATTTTTGGCCTTTTCAAATTTCTTAATTCTTCTTTTCTTGTCCTCTTGAGCCTATTCTTCACTGATACGAATAATCTCTTCTTGGAGTTGTTTGATGGTTAACATTATTGGACTAGGACGAGCCGACAAGGGGAGATGGTTTGAAAAGGATGGATTGTTAGATGGTAAACGTAGAATGCAAGTGCCCGGGTGTCTTCGTCCCAAGCTTGATACCCAGCCCTAAAGGAAGTACGAAAAATTAAGAAAACTAACACACTTGTTTTTTTTTTTTTTTTTTTTTTTTTGTAAAAAAAAAGAAAGAAAAAGATACAAAACTGCATTCAAAGGGATACCATCGCCTTTCAACAATTCATAAATAATGATATTGTTTAGACGAGCCATTAATTCACGAAGAATCAAAGTGGTCTCGTAGCAGAAGGCACGCGCAAGGTTCAGATTAGCGCACCATTATGAGGAGGGTAGACCGTCGTTGCAGATCCCACTTCCTCTATGCCCATGGCCCTTCAAAGCCTAGGGTTTTACACTTTTTAGGGTGTGTTAGGATTTGAATTACTGACTGTTTGGGGGACCTTGAATTAGAATTATACTATCATCACGCTTTTTTATAAGAAACCAATAAAAAGTCGCCAATGAGTTTTAGGAAAACTCATAAACCTTGTTCATGCCTTTCTCCCAAGTAGAATTCATGGGATATATAGCACGAATAATAATT